ACCGCGCTCGCCCTCCTCCCCCACGCCTCCTCCGCTCTGCCTCTCCCCGGACAGGATCCACTGTGGGGAGACGCCAAGGGTTAGGTGCTGAGACCCACTGCAGGAGCGGGGGGCTGGGAGCCAGGACTCCTGGGTTCTATTCCTGACTCACTTTTTGTCCCTGGGTGAATCTCATCTCTTCCCCCCCCCCCGTGCCTCAGTTTCCCCTCACTGTAAACCAGGGTAGCAGTGTGACTGATCGTGTGGGGGGTAACGCACACCCGTCACTCTCATTGCATCCTGCTCTGGGGGTGTCTGAAGCAGCGAGTCTGGGCCCGGCGTGGGGGGGCGCAGACCCAATTGGGTGGTTTTCATTTTCTATTAAAGCCCCAGCTTCAAAGCTTTCGTCACTGGGAGAGAAAACGCTGGGGAAAGGGACCCAGCTACAGGCCCAGACCCCAGAACAAAAAATAATTACACACCAAGGCCCAGGTTTAAAATCCCTCCATTACGAAGCTAATCCGGGGGGTTTACACATGCGAGGTTGAGCGCAAGGATGAAGCAGGATCAGGGTTTCCCGGACAAGAGAGGCCTGGATTCGACGATCCGTCTCTTCCTAGCCCAAACCTCCGCATTTGCCGTTCCCAGTTGCCCCACCCGGGCGAAGTTTTTTGGCAGTGAATTTCCCCCCTCCTCCTTCCGAAAAATACAGGGAATACAGGTCATCCAGAACCCCAGCCCCGTGCTCTACCCACTAGGCCCCGCCACCTGCCGGTTAAAACCCAGCTGCCTCCGTCTTTCACTGCCCTGCGGAGATTTCCCTGAGCTGACGACTTTGCGCATCTTCCGGCGGTTAAACGTTGGAAAGAGAGCACCATGTTAAACAGGGGGAAACTGAGGCACGGCACGGGGAAAGCGACTTGGCCAGCGACAGGACTCCTGGGTTCTATCCCTGGCTCACGTGTCTAGTACCCAGGGCGCACGGCCTCCAAAAACGACTGATAATTAAATCATAAAATTATGAACGAATGGGCCCTGATGAAGGGGGACCGGCACAGAACGGCCTAACATGGGACACTGATAGGGGATCGGGTAATTGAGACTCTAGGAACATTGAATTAATTATGATTAATACTGTTCTTAATTACTGCCTTGGGGCAGCACCTGGGAGCCCCAGTCACCCGACTCCCCTTTGCGCAAGGGGCTGTACACACAAAGGACAAAGAGATGATCCCAGGCCCAGCGATCAGTGAATTACTCGGGTTTATTTATAGGGGACACCTTCCTTCTGCTGGTCTCAGAGGGGAATTAATGAATGAAGCCCCCACATGGGAGGAGGAAGGACAGCCAGCCCAATTTTATAGGTGGGGAAACTGAGGTACGGAGGGGAAGGGATTTTTCGGAGCACATCACCCAAAGAAGAACCCAGGAGTCCTGACTCCCAGCCCCCCCACTCTAACCACTAGCCTCCACTCCCTTCCTAGAGCTGGGGAGAGAACCCAGGAGTCTTGGCTCCCAGCCCCCCTGCTCTAACTCACCAGCCCCCACTCCCCTCCCAGTGCCGGGGAGAGAACCCAGGAGTCCTGGCTCCCAGCCCCCCTGCTCTAACCCCCAGCCCCCACGTCCCTCCCAGAGCTGGGGAGAGAACCCAGGCGTCCTGGCTTCCAGTCCCGTACCAAGGTCACATGGTGGGTAACATGTTACTAATTAAGGGGCGGCTCCAGCTCCCGGCTGAATTCAAAGGGAGCCTCCCCCACACCCCTCCCGTGGGGCTCCCAACATCCCACCAGCTAAGCAAACACTGCGGTGGTGGGGAGGGTGGGGTGGGCTGGGGGATTATAAACGATCCCCGCGTCTTTCCGGAGACAGCCTGGGATCTCGGCCGAGCAGCCGTCGCGTTACATTAACAACGCGGCCTGACGCTGGAGGGGCCCAGCCAGGCGGACAGAGACACACACACACGCACAGACACACACACAAAATCCCCAGCAGCCAAACAAAACCTTCCGCCACACTGTCATCGGCCAGCGGCACCCGCAGGTTGCAACGAATCCAGGCAAATGGATCACGGGCTGGCGGAGCAGCTGGATACGTGTTAGAAACCGGAGAGGCGGGTGCGTGTCAGTGGTACAGGCTCCGAGACCGGAGCGGGGGGGGGGGAGGGGTAGCCCAGCTACACCGTGACGTAACTGGTGTGCGTGTCCCAGATACAGCCAGAGCTAATTGGAGACGGTGGGGAGCTGTATCGCAGGCTGTCGGGATTAAAATTCAAAAGGGGGGGGTGGGTACAGTCGGATATAATCAGGGTTGAGGTGGGTGACGTGTCACAGCTACACTCTGATATAAATGGTGGGGGGTGTCTCCCCCCCCAAGCTACAGTTGGAGTTAATCAAGAGACGGTGGGGAGGTATATCACAGCTACGTGCTGATTAATATGGGGGGGGGGAGCGCGTTGTTTCTCTAGGTACAGTCAGAGGTAATCACAAGTGGAAGAAAAGGTACACTCTGAGGTAACCAGGCTGTTTACAGTCGAAGCTAATCAGACATGGGGAGGAGGTGTATCACACCTACAGTCCGATGTAATGGGGGGGGTGGGGAGTGTGTGCCCCTGATACAGTCAGGAACAATCAAAGATGGGGAGAAGGTGTATCACACCTACAGTCTGATGCAAATGGTGTGTATGTTTGTCCCGGGGACCGTCAGAAGTACTTAGAGATAGGGGAAGGTGTATCACTGCTACATTCTGATGTAACCGGGGGACAGGTCCCGAGGTGCGGTCTGATGAAGTTGCTGTGTGTTTCATTTGACACAAGATAGGTCTGGGGGTAAGTTTTACATACGGTTTGATGTTTCTGGGATGCACATCAGGTAGGGCGTGATGTATTTGATGTATGTGTGTGAGAATAGCAAGAGCTAGAAATGGAAGTACAACATGCTTTAACTGGTCCGTGTGTGTGTGTCACAATACCATCACAAGTAATTGGCGTGTATGCATTAGATATAACGTAATGTAATTAGGGCGTAGGTGCCAGGTACAATCTCACGTAATTGGAGTGCATGGGTCAGGTACAATCTGACAACTGAGTTGTATGTGTCAAGTACAGTGTGCTGTCACATCTGTATACGTCAGGTACAGTCTGATGTAATCGGTCTGTCTCTCACAGGTACAGTGTGATGTAACAGGAGTGTACATTCAGGTACAGTCAGACATAATTGGGGGTGTGTGTCAGGTACAGAATGATGTGACTGGGGTGTGTATGAGGAATACAGTCGGACGTCGTTGGGGGCAGGCACGAGGAATACACTCTCAGGACATGAGGTGTACATGCCGAGTACAGTCTGACAGCATCGGGGGCATCCCTGTCACAGCTGTGCTGGAAATCTGGGGCCCTTAAATCCCTCCCGACCACGTCAACCCCTCGCTGCAAAAAACAGCGCTCAATCAAATGGACCCCTGAACAAAACCCTTCACCAAAAACTACGCATTGCCATAGAAACCACAAACTGCTGTTTTTCCCTTACCCTCCCCCTCCCCAGCCACAGCGACTGACAGATCTGTTTCCTCCCTCACCTACCTGCCAAGACCTGAGAGCTGGGTCAGGCGGTCCCCATGGCAACAGCCTATGACGTCCCCAATAGCAGGAGGAGCCCTGCTCTCTGGGGATGAGGATGTCACCTGCTGTTGCTGTGGTAACGGCCCCAGAACCCAGGTCTTGGCAGGGGAAAGACCTTTAACCTGGCCAGTACAGAATATTGACAGCCCAACACCCGCATCACGCACACCCCAAGCCAATAGGATGCAAGCGAGGGGATGCACTCGGCTCACCTGGATACTCGTTGGCTGAGCTGGCTGTGATGTCACCAGGCCCCTTCCCATGTCAACCCTTGTGATTCAGCTGGGATCTGCGTTAAAGAAACAGCCCCTACAAAAATGTTCTCCAAGCAACATGCCCCTTTAAAAGGAGGGGTGTGATCAAACACACTGTACAAACACACACGCACACACTGCACGCACACACAGTACAGACAACCTCCCACAAACACACTGGACAAACACAAACACACTGCAAATCTCTCTCTCTCACACACACACACACACACGAATACACTCACACCCAGAACAGACAACCCCTACACCGCACGCGTGCGCACACACACAATACTGACAGACCCATACCAAGCACCACACCCACTGATGCTGTACACAACCGCACACCGAGATGTTGGCACAAACGTGTTGTCACACAAATACATGGGATACAGCATACCAAACACGGACAATCGGACACAGTTCAGTTCAGTAAGACTTTACACTCCTGCGGCATCACACGCAAT